TATATGTGTCTCTTGAGATACTTGGAACAGACTACAAAAGTTTCATCTTTGGACTAGGCTAGCCACTTTATGGTGCTTCAAGAAGTACCATACAAAAAGTGTATGTATGTACCAGAAGTGCAATAAAACTTTCGTAGTCTATTCTAATTGTAATTGTAATTGTCAGAGGCACATACAGCGGCATAATAATTTTATCAATATCTTTTATCAATTTTATGACAATAAGAGCGAACTAAAGTTTTAAGAATATTTTTAATATTTTAACATATATAAATAGTATACAATAATATACAAATAGTATTAAAAAAGTGTTTTATTTAACAAAAGAATGATGTAATAATAATGTATGTATAAATGTATAAAATATGTAAAAATAAAAGAAATAACCGCTAGAAGTTGAAAAGATTGTTTCTGTGAAAAATTTTTCACGCAGAAATAAAGGCAATTGTTTATTTAATTTTTCTCCAAATGTTTAGATACAGTTTACACAAATATTACTCGCCTAACCACGCTTATTATTTGGTAGTGTTCGCTGTTGTCAGCTCGGTGGAAGCGAGACAGAAAACGGTATGTCTGCTTTCTTCTACTAGCCGAGCGCCGAGCGTATATGGACGCTGTTCCACGCTGTTCTCGGCTTGTGTGAGTGCTCGGGACCGCGGAGCCGTGGTTGCAATATCGCATCACTGGCACTGTGAGCCGTTGATGTCAGATGATTATTATCGTGTTGGTACAACAGTAGGTGTAGACTCAATGCGTAGCGTATGTGAAAAATTACTATCGCGCGTGTAGATATCTGTTGCATTGTGCGTGTCGCGTACTGTACATATCATCTTTTAAAGTACATTTGTGGTGCACGCCGTCGAACGATCGCATTTCTTTAGTTGTGCCGTTTCTTCATCGGCACATCCTGGACACACAATTATTTTCTTTACGTGTTTATCCCGAGATAGGAGAAGTCCATCCGTACACAATAATCGTGGTCAATTTTATATTTTGACTATTTCATTGGCAGGACTTGCTATTCTTACGGGTGAGTCTCCGAATCCTCTGCTTGAAAATTATAGAGTTATCGCATGGTGGTGGCATCGGCGACAGCGACCGCGTTTAACCTAGATATGCGACATCAAAGGCACAACGAAAGCATCCTTCCTATTTATTGTTAATTTTTTTTACGCTAGAAGAAACAGTGTATTCTCTCGCCGGTTACAAGTATGATGCGAGCAGATAACGTGAATTGTGGCCTTTGACTTTTTATGGCATGCGAAATATACATTGTATATACATTTTCTTTTTATAAATTTATCTCCAGGATGTAATCTTTATATTTTATATGATATAACCTCTAAATATTTTCGGGTACTCGAGAAAATATATCGAGCAAGTCACAATTATCATGACTGATCCTATTCGCTTTCAAAAAGCTAGCATGAACGTTATTAACATTGTAAAAGTAGTGCAATTAAAAGTCTTGGGTGTCGGATAAACTCGACATGCAGGGGCAGCGCAAAAACATTTATTCAGTTTCGAATCCGACCCTTAACCTTTCGGTATACACGGTGCACGTGATGTATGTCTATATATATATATATGACGCAATGAGAGTAAAATTGAGTAAAATATCATATATCATTATCACGCACTTGTTGCGGAATCAATGTGTGTGATGCAACGATAGGTAATGTGATTCGGTTCAATAACACAGTCTCTTGTTTCTTAATCCTTGCTTGACAAGTTGCAAATGATGAGTAAAATCGGCGCGAAGACGAGAAACGAATAGTGTCAGTTGAAACAAAAAAAAGATTGTTTAATAATAATAATAATAGATAAATCATTCCCTCATATCCGATGATGACAATAGTTTGTCATATAGATAAATTGTGTAGCGATAATCCAACATGCCGACAATCGATGCTGGTCTCTAATAACAGAACTCGGAAGCTAAAGAAAATTTTAAAAAATAAAAAAAAAGATGGAAAAATTTAGTTTAAATTTTTAGACGTCTCATGAAACAGAATTGCATAAAATTGCAGTTGCATGCCTCGTGTATACAACATAAAAGTGATTTGAAAAGGAATTGGGAGAGAATATACCTATTTTGAGAAATAGGTATCGTTTGTTGCAACTTTTTGTCGCATTAATTGTAAGCATGAATTCGTTATCGAAATAGTAAATTGCCACGAAATAGTTAATTGCCGACGGTCAGCATGACGCAAGTACCTATTGCCTCTTGACAAATAATCCTTTCCGGTCTTACGTCTTCGTCGTTTGCTTGCTGAAGACGTCCTCGTGTAGATAAGAAGTAGTATCGTTGTATACGCAATAATGGTATAACGCAAATACACTATTGTCGTATCACGCTGTGTTGAGAATTAGTAGCAAGCAAGAATGTGCGGGGTTTAATCGACGCAATTATTGTCGCAATTAACAAGTGGAAATTAAATGCTGTCGATAGATGAAAGAAAATGATTATTTCATTCAGCAAGGTTTATTGTGATTTGGACAAACATGAATTTCTAATCGAAACTCCTTTTCTTTTTCTATTCTCTCAGATTGACTATGGTATACTTGACCTACTCTTTTTCTTAATTTTTTAAAACCAAGTTAATTTTTCTTGAATTCTAACAATTGGAATTCCACCAATTTAACGGCATAAAGCTATAACACATACTAACGATAATGTTGGAGCATAATCGTAGTACATCGACGACTAGCCTTAGCCTTTTTCGCCTTCGTGCTTTCGTATATGTACGTGCTTATCATACATTAATGATCGCACCTGCTTTCGATTCCAGGCTTTGATAATCTAAACACGATTATTTCGCATTTATTGCGCACGTGTTTGACAATTGCGCAATAAAAGTGTAAATGACTTTGTTCGTTCGATTAGTAACTTGAAAGCTTAGCGACATCGAGAATCGAATAAACCAAACGTCAAAGTCAGCTCGGATAATCTTTCGTTTAAGGAGGGGGGGGGGAGATTATATTATACAAGTACCGCGTTATACAGAGATCTTATTTGTACTTTGGAGAAAGAGAATACACACGTACACACGCACAAGAAAGATTTCGTTTTTAGTGACGGCAAAGCGACGAGCAGGGTGACCAAAGCTGAAGGTGGCTGTGAGAATAATACCTGGCAGGAAGTTGAGGTCAGCGAAGTGTCACCACGCGTCACGCCGAGGTGGTGGATCTATGGGGGGCTCCGCCCCAGCAGCCTTCCGACTCAGGTCCAAACGGCAATTGCCGAAACGGCGGTGCTATCCTGGCACGGGCCAAGACCGCCTCACTTCCGGTACCACCGTCCAAACGGATGAAGAGTCCTTCCAACATCATGAGGCAATCCAGCCTCACGAAACTTGGTTCCATGATCAACACCGCCGTCAACAAACGTGCCGGTGAGTCTATCTTGTTTCATATCTTGTTATATTTTTGCGTACGTCGCGTATGTATTAGAAAGGTCGCCGTCGACGTCGATCCGAAACAAATAGTACATTGCATGTACTACACGGTATGGTACATTGCATGACGCTCAAGCGGAAGAATGCAAGAAGAATGTGAACTGTGCTGATTGTGTAAGTAAAATCGGACAAGAGACTTCCAACAGTGTAATAAGTTGTTCAAGTGCGTATTAATCGTGAACGAAATTTCGCATACATTTTGGATAAACTTCCGAAAAGCTATCACCTCCGATTTGGCTGATTTTCAGCCTAAATATTTATTTTATCTAGTAAATAATATATGTTTTCCAGCAAAGGACACAAGTTGACACAAATCGACACAAGTATCACTCTGTCTTTGTTCGATATTCAATGAGCAACAGAGAGAATAATACTTTTGTGTCGCTTGTGTCTCTTGGTGGAAAACTACCAATATTCCCAAATGGATTTTTGGCGCAAATGCTCCCCAGCCCCCCTCAAAGGTAAAACTGTTTTTGTTAATTATTTAATTAATTTATTATTTAATTAGTTAATTATTTAATTATTTATAGAAAGTGTTTATTGTACGGAAAAAGTTGTCAAAAAAAAAATGAAGCTTATAAAAAGCTCTACAAATAAGGTGCTATACATATTTTATCTAACTCCAATATTTTAGCCGTTATTATCAAAAATTTGGAGGCAGTGTGTTCCGTCTTCCTGCGGAGGGCTTTACCATCAAAAAACTATATACATAGGGTTTGGATTGAATCTCGCTTCGCGTAGAAATTCGTAAACCCATGTGGAACCTCGCTTTGCGTAGAAAGTGTATGCGTGGAGGCAGTGTGTTCCGCCCCCCTGCGGAGGGCTCCACCATCAAAAAACTATACACATAGGGTCTGGATTGAATCTCGCTTTGCGTAGAAATTCGTAAACCCATGTGGAACCTCGTTTCGCGTGGAAAGTGTATGCGTGGAGGCAGTGAGTGCCGCCTCACCTATGGGGGCTTTTACAAGATTTTTGATAACGACTAAAATATTGGAGTTAAGTAAAATATGTGTAGGACCTTATTTGTAAAGTTTTTTATGAGCTTCATTTTTTGTTTGACAACTTTTTCCGTACAATAAATACTTTCTGAAATAATTAACAAAAACAGTTTTACCTTTGAGGGAGGCTGGAGGGCGGAGGGAGCATTTGCGCCAAAAATCCATTTGGGAATATTATTTACTAGATAAAATAAGTATTTAGGCTGAATATAAGTCAAATCGGAGGTGATAGCTTTTCGGAAGTCCACCCAAAGCCTCTAAGCTACTTGCAATATAATTTAAAAGTTACATCTCTAATGGGTTTTCCAACAAGAAAACACAAATAGACACTGTGTCAAACAGTTGAATACAATGCGTGGCTGCTTGATGGAAGAATATATTTTAATTTTTGACATGGTCACTAATTCGCGCGAACGATTAAAATTCCGTTATCTCATAATCTCTTTAATTTACATTTGTCATTCTTTTCAAACTACAACATATAATAATTGCGTTAATGCTAAAACGGATTATTCGACCATTATACTGGTTAAATTGTTACAATTAATATATACATATAATATATATAATAATTTAATGGAAAAAAATCTAATTTGATTTAACATAGTAATGAGTACATCATTGTATTCTTTATAAATTGTTGATTATTGAAATTTTAATTTAATCCATAAAATTTTCCAAACTAAGCAAAGAGGAAACATTTCAGTGTTCCATATTATAATACATCAAATTTTAACACAATATAAAACATTTTAATATAAATTTAAAAAATTATTGAAATTGATCGTGTATATAATTCTGAATTTTCAACTCTGCTTTGCAGCTTGACTTGAGCCGATTTGTCATTGCAGAAAAACACCTGTATCGACACTGTCACACTGTGTATTGATTGTGTTCCTTGCTGGACCATCCTATACGCTAATAGCGAACGCAAATTGTGTATGTATTCTTATAACAGACATGTCCAAATCTTTTTAAATTACATTATTTTAGTTGTGCAAAATATTATTTATGTACGCGTGCTCGAATAGTGGAGATGTAATCTCGTTAGTACGAGCTTATTAACAAAGCACTTCTAATGTGTTCGATAAAGATAGTTTCGTGTCTCGCACAAGCCGGTACACTTCGTACCAGTCTGAGATAATCTCGTTTAGATATACTGTTTTATTCGCGGGAAAGTTGGTTTTTCAGCCGAATCGTCGGTCAATTAATTGGTAAAATAGTTTTGATTTTGCAAATGAATTACACACGCTGAGATCAGTTTCTCGGGCTTTTTGGACTGAAAATGAAACGGGCGGAAATTCGCACTTCTAGGACATTTACGCACTTGCAAAGGAATGTGCCGTTGTTTTCCTCCATCGAGGAAATACAGGATAAGTTAGCGGAGCTTTTAGGTAAATCCTTTGATATCGTTCGTAAAAGCTGTTGAATGTATTGTGGGCCATCATATTAACTCATAGAATATAGATATATGAATTCTGCAATATTATTATAGAGTTTCAGTGTGAATTTACTAATTCGATACATCAGAAATCAACATTACAATCAACACTCTTGCCTAAAATCATCTGACATTTTATAGTACTTGTAAATATATTCTATATTTTTTAATTATATAATTAAAAAAGTAAGTTTTTTAACATAATATATTTAGCGAGAAATTCAAGTTTAAGTATTGGTTTGATCTAGTTTGAAAGAGAGAGAGAGAAATGACTTCAAATGTGCAAACTAAATAAGATATTGACATGTTAATGTGAATCTCCAATAGATTAAGTCGAGAGAGTGTACTAGTATGAATTAATATACAGTGTCCCTTATGGCAGTCACGTGTTAATAACGTGAAAAACTTTAAAAAATTATATTTACAAACATGATATCTAAATTCATGTAGATTTTAAAATAACGAGGATGAGATAATGAGGAAAAACCTCCCGGGCTCATTTCAGAATCGCGAATATATTCATATTTCTGTGTGTAGAGAGATTCTTTATAAATGCACTCGACCTTTTTATTAAATAAAATATACATGTATGTCACATCTTATGTCGGTTATTATTTTTTAGAAGACCACTACTTCTGATTAAAATGCTTTTAATAAAAAATTGGTTGCATTAGTCATTGAAACGTATTATTAATATAAGAATATTTATATTGCATTCACATGTATTTTTCAATATTTTATATGCCAAAAGATTAATAACATACCTAATATTATATTTTAACTTTCTATTTCGATAGGTTATTATGTCTACTATATATGTGTATACTATAATTTAGTTACAAAAAAATATGTTAAAATAATATCTTTTTTTAAGATATAATAAAGATAGTTTTATCTCTTTGAATTAAAATTAATACTTTTATTTTTTTAATTTCTAAAGAAAAATTAATGTATTATAATTTATAAATATATATGATATTTTGAAGCTGTTTCAATAAATATAAAAGAGATATCTCTAAATATCGGATAGTTTTAAAATAATTGCATTTTTTACGTATATATCATTAAATACTATTCAAGCATATTTTTGTTAAAATACTGAGACAAACTCTTTTCAGCAGCACTATCGAATTATCATAAGCAACTGTATTACAAGCATAGGAATAAACATTTCTAATTACACTGTCCTGTATGGATCTGTTATTTGGAAAAAAAAGAGTAGTTTTCCATAATTTTTTATGCGCTCAATCCCAAACATTGATCTTTTAGATACGAACAATACGTATTATAAGAAAAATATGCCAGAAAATAGCAATTTCTGCTGCACTAACAAAAATTTTTTTGTAATTTTGTTTATAAAATTTTAAAATAATTTTTTCTTTTAAAAGGGGTTTTATTTTGCTTCCGATCTTTTTAAGCCAGTTTATGGTTAAAACTACTATTACTATTTCCTTTAATATATACTTTTCAGACAGATTTTTGGTTTTATTATCTCATGCTTTTCTTATACAAAAGATTTTCAGACTATATATGTCGTAAGCTTACTAAGGTAGATCATTCGGTCGTATAAATAATGTTAATTCTATTCTAATTTATTTCAAAGAGAAAAGTTAGTTATTTTTTAAGATAGTATAATGGTTATTCAAGAAAAGAACCATTTTTCTTCGGAATAGCATTATAAACATGATGATGGCCAAATTCTTCAAATGCAAAGCATTTTTTTCTTCGATTTTGTGTATGTCAAAATCTTCATGTTACGTATTTTTGGAGACCAAATTTGATTTTAGCGCACAAACAAAATTCAACAGAATTCTACAAAATTCAACAAAATTCTACAGAAAATTCTTTCGGGATCAGAAAAAAATGTCTACCACGAATTCGAATTTACCGCGTTACACAGATCCACGCGTTCTCTCGGCTATCCTCATTGTTAACGCGTTCGCGCAGGTTCCGCGCGTTGCCGAGCACCGCGTGTAAAATGGTGGTTACCGCGGAGGTAGCGAAACCTGTACTGCGCAGTGACGTCACGTCGTCGTCGCGTTGTGCGGTTATGCTCCTATGAACTTCCGCCATTAAGAGTGCTGTGTACGCCGAGAGTTTTATGGCACAGTGGTTGACTGGAAATATGTGACGGAAGATCGGTGGTGGACGATTCCAGGATCCCGTGTTTGCCGTATAGCGACCGATTTCTTCGTTACCGGCGTGGTGCGCGCGCGCGTATCCTTCTGCTCGTAAGCGTACGCTCGCCGTTAAGTCCCACACCGGGAATAAACTTGAGTGCGAACACTCCGCTTGTGTGTTGTTCCCCGTGTTGTGCGAGATGGCCGGTAAGTAGTGGCTCCAAGCAATCGTGGCTGTTTGTAAACGTACATGCTCGTGCCGCCGATGCGCGACGACGGCGACGGTGCGTCGTCGCTTTTGCTGGGCAGCTCGCGCCTCCTCGCTTCTCGCCGTGCAGTGAGGCGAACCTTCGGCCAAGTCAAAGCCGCGAGTACATCTTCAACGCTCTCGTGCACCGGGTGTGTTCGCTTGCTTAATCTTCGCGTCTTCGAATAATAAACGCATTCTTCGCGTGTCCCGCACTCCGGATTCTGCCCGAGTGCGAGGGGGGCGGGGGCAGATACGTCTATGTGCTTGTCGTCGGCGACGACAGCGGCGGCGACGGCGGCGGCGGTGGCGGCGGCGGCGGCGGCGGCGGCGGCGGCCTAGAAACACGATGGATCACGCCGAAACTTCAAGTAGGCTCACTTTTATCTCTCTTCTCCTCCTTCTCGTCTGTTTTGCATTCTCTGTATTCGTGTCAATCTGCGCGCGACCTTCGCAGGAGGATTCGTGTGTCCGTGCCGGCCATCTTCATTCGTACCCCCTCACTTCTCTCCGCTAGATCGCCGTTAGACCACCAATCCAATACAATATTTCTGAAATCATTCAATACATGTTCACAAATATGAATCACAATTTTCTAGCGACATGATTTTATTCAGCTTTTTCGTCCTTTAGTATTTCTCTCGATAGGTGTGATTATGTTTTGCAATCTTTGCCATTTTTCGTCGGATGTTAAAGTGTTTATTTGTGTTTGATACAGCAGATGCATATGCTCTTAAACAGCAGTTATTTTATAAAGCTATTCTATTCCACTGTATTAACTCCTGCTGCTTTTTTCTCTCCCTTCTTTTTTTCCTGCTTCCCCCCCCTCTCCTCTTATGGGGGATCTTATACTTTACATGTACATGCACTTTTTACATATTTTTAATATCATCTAACTCACTTTGCAAAGTAGCAAATGAAGCTATTTTGTTTCGTCTGACAGCATGTGGAAATTCAAGATTCTTTAGCTCAGTGTGCTACAAGTATTGCATCTTACATATTACAAGCTTTTAAACGATCAATTCTTATATTCTAACTCCATAATCTGATTAAAGCACCAACAAGTTGCATCTTTTGTTTCTTTTTTGCATATTTCTGCATTTTATACATATATATGTGTATATAAATTTTTTGTAATATTCCACATATAGTTTGTTTTTAGTATCCAAAAATTTAGTGATCAAATCTTTTTGCTTAAATCATACATTACAGACGAAATAAAAAATTAGTAAGAAAAGTATCTGTGTGTTATACAACACTTTCAGAATATTCCATCCCTATTTTCTTCATTCTTTGCAGCATCTTATAAGCTTCAATAGTTGTGTTATCGACAATAATTAAACTACGTTGATATTTGCGATTAAGATGTATGTTAAATGCAATCAATTATTGCAAAGTGCTTTTTACAAATATCCACCAAATATGTGATAATATGTGATAATAAGACAAATAAGCGAGAAAGAAGAGATCTCATTGTCAGTTTTAAAATCTTCTGTTATCGTATTTTAGGCAATGGGGACATACAGTGGTGTTTCTCACAAGTGAAGGGGACCTTAGAAGACGACGTCACAGAAGGTAAGCTTGACCTGTATTTGCTCAACTCGAGAAGCAGCTTGTCTCTTATCTTATCAGTTTACACATACTATGTAAAATAAAACAAGGAACTAGTCGCGCAAATCAAGGCTTTGCATATATTATTGAGATCTAAAATTTATCTTGATTTGCAAAATTATATTTTTATACTATTGTTAATTGATATGTGTTTATATAATCATAATTTTTGTATGCAATTTGTAAATATGAATGTTATGTCTTTATTACAGCTGATATAATCTCATGCGTTGAATTTAACCATGATGGCGATCTTCTTGCAACAGGAGACAAGGGTGGGCGTGTTGTCATTTTTCAGAGAGATCCTATTGTAAGTATAATTATTATAAAATTTAAATAAATGGACAAATTGTAAAGACATTTTCGGTTTAGTACACATTATCCAATCAAATCAAATATCATATAGATGTTAACATCAACGTCAAGTTACATTCATTGTGATATATCATGTATTTTATTGATAATATTTAATCTTTCAAAAAAATTTTGCATATTTATATATATTTTATTGTTCTCACTATTTTGCAAGTCGATAGTGGTCATGATAATTTGTAGCACAAAGCTTACATTGACATTTAGTAATCTAGTATCTGTCTAAGCTTCTATTGAGTCAGAACAGCTCTTTGCTAAACCTATTAAAGATACACACTGCCATTTAAGCTCATAGCATGACATGGGTGAAATGGTTAGAAGAGCATTACAAGATTATTAGACAACTTTAAACTTTTAAGCATAATACGTGGATTATTATAATCAAATCTACTACTTAGACTGTTAAAAGACAATGATTATTTCTGCAGAGTAAAAACAGTATACCGCGAAGAGGCGAGTACAACGTATATAGCACCTTCCAGAGCCATGAACCTGAGTTCGATTACCTAAAATCATTAGAGATAGAAGAAAAAATTAATAAAATTAGGTGGCTAAAAAGAAAGAATCCTGCCCACTTTTTACTTTCCACCAACGATAAAACTATCAAGCTGTGGAAAGTTAGTGAGAGAGATAAAAGAGTGGAAGGGTATAATACGAAAGAAGAGAATGGCACGATTCGTGATCCTGCTTGCATTACTGCCTTGAGGGTAAGTCATTTGAATCACTTGTGTAAATTAACACATTGTTATAGGGTTGCAGGGTAAGCAAATGGAAGTAATTTTTAACCTCTCAAGTGTACTAATGCCGCGTGTAAAATGGTTAAGTTACTGAGTTCGACTTTTCAGTCAAAAACTTTACGAATTTGATAATTTAACTGATCTAATAATGCATATATTACAAATGTGAAAAGGTATTCCATTCTCATCAAATTTAATTTCAAGGTTTTTTTTATTTTTGAATCCGAATTTGACATTAAATTTGTAGATGTGAAAAGACATTATTTTCATAAAACGTTGTTTCTCTTATAGCTGTTAAAAGATTAATTTTGAGATGTGTAGAAAAACATTGTTAAATGTTTAAGATTTTATTGCCATATATAGGTGCCAACCATAAAACCAATGGAGTTGATGGTAGAGGCGTCACCAAGGAGAATATTTGCTAATGCGCACACCTATCATATAAACAGTATAAGTGTCAATAGTGATCAAGAGACATACCTCAGTGCTGATGATCTTAGAATTAATCTATGGCATCTCGAAATTACTGACCAGAGTTTTAGTATCCTTTCTATAATCACATGTGAAATATTTTCATATTTTTGTAACTGCACGTGTATGCGCGCGCGCGCGCGCGGTATGTTGGAAAATATTCAAATCTTACTTTCCTAACCATAGCATACAGATATAGTGGACATTAAACCAACTAACATGGAAGAATTAACAGAAGTCATAACCGCGGCAGAATTTCATCCTGCGGAATGCAATGTGTTGGTGTACAGTAGCAGCAAGGGAACCATCAGACTTTGCGATATGAGATCTGCTGCTCTTTGCGATCAACATAGCAAACTCTTCGAAGAACCTGAGGATCCAACTAATAGGAGTTTTTTCTCGGAGATTATTTCCAGTATAAGTGATGTGAAGCTAAGTAATTCTGGGAGATACATGATTAGTAGAGACTACCTCAGTGTGAAAGTATGGGACTTGCAAATGGAGACAAAACCAATCGAATGTTATCCTGTAAGTTGATTCATAAGGAACACGATACTTGTACAATTAAATTTGTTAGTGCGTCAACGACGTATATAAACATCATTTTAGAAAAAATAGTTTTTATCTATAGTAATTTTGCAAAATATGGTATCCATGGACTTTCAATTGTGGAATCTTGGAAACATCAAACTTATAAATTCTTGATCAAAATTTGCGTGTATCAAAAATTTAAAACATTGCTAATTAATCATAGAAAATGTGCTATTTGTGTATTTATCAGTATAATTTTGTTACAACAGGTACACGAATACTTAAGATCAAAATTATGTTCGTTGTATGAAAATGACTGCATCTTTGACAAGTTTGAATGTTGTTGGAGTGGTACTGATTCTGCCATCATGACGGGGTCGTATAACAATTTCTTCAGAGTATTTGATCGTACAACCAAACGCGATCTTACATTGGAGGCGGCACGTGACATTGCCAAACCAAAAACGCTCTTGAAACCAAGAAAGGTTAGCGGATTTACGCGGTCTTGTTTTATTCATAAGAACTTGTATTGTCACACCGAGTCAAAGCTTAAATATGTTTGCATGCGATCTAGGTATGCACCGGTGGTAAACGTAAGAAAGATGAGATTAGTGTCGACTGTCTGGACTTCAATAAGAAAATACTTCATACCGCATGGCATCCATCTGAAAATGTGGTGGCTGTCGCTGCTACGAACAATCTCTTCCTATTCCAAGACAAACTCTAGCATATCTGTATGCAAGTATGTTGAAAATTTGTACATCAGCATGTCAAACTGAAAGATTACACTGGTCTTTAAAATTAGATTTTTTTTTGTTCAAAAGAAAGGAAGAATGGGTTTCCTGCAATTCAAATCCGGCTTTGAAAAAGTATTATAATTTTGAGAAAATAAAAAATATATGTCACGAATAACGATTTTTGCCATATTTACATTCTATTCTTTAAAAAATTGTTTTTATAATTATTTGTTACATAATCTTAAAATGATAACTTGTCTTTTTCAACTAAATAAATATTTAAAATAAAAAAGTATGAAAAATAGATATGTAGATCACTTCCACATGTTTTACATGTGGATAATGATGAGTTAATAATAAAAGTTTATACATTATATAGAAAAAATATAAAATAACAAAAGATCTGTTTATACAACAATATAATATGTATTAGAAAATTGTTCTCTTTTTTTTTAAATTATATTTGTGAATAAATTGTAAATATGGTAAAACTGGTTATTATTTTTTTCTCTGATTTTCTCAAAATCCTGATGTAATGCCTACTTTTCGAGATTGTATTCGGATTTTGCGCATAAAAAACTACGGAATATTACTTTTTTTCACAACATACCCTATACAAGAGCAGTGTTATCTTTAAAATTTAACTCTAATATTTTACTTAACGCAAGCTAATTCATCCTTTTCAGATTATACAACGGTATATATTGACGTGAGCTAGGCACGTTGAACTGAAAGTTCCCAATGGAACCACGGGTGTTCGAATAATACTGACGATAGTCGACTGCTGAGCAATCTGTCAGCGATCGATTGACCGAGGAGTGGTGTATGTAGCGCCGTCCACGCAGCTCACACATTCATATGTGATATATATATATATATATTATATATATATATATATATATATATATATATATATATATATATCACACACACACACACGCGCGCGCGTGCGCGCAAAAGCAGCAACACACGAACACACACACGTACAGAATTGCACTTTACAATACTTTGTCGCGCGTATATGTGTATGAAAAGAGATATGCAAGTACACGCATAACTTGAAATGCAAAACTCATGCATAATTCTAACCTATCAAGTTTGCTAACTCAAATATATTTGCAAACGAAAAAAAAGGAAATAGACTATTCGGAAAAGGAAATAGACTATTCGGCAGAATATATGATTCTCAAGCAATTTACAGACTCGTGTTGGCAGTTAATATACATATAATTTATAATTACTAATGATCAGTAATTTCTTGCCTGTATCATAGAAATTGTGCCATCGTATAGCGCAGTTTACACATGATTTCACTATCTCAGGTGCTTTGGTCATAGCATTGAGATGGACGGCACTGTGAGCAAAGAGGGACAGAGAGAAGACAGAGAGTGAGAGTATCAACTACCTACAAGCCGTTTGTTGCGGTTTACATACAATTAATACGAATACATGGTACAAACACTAAGTTTTTCTTAATTAATATGCCTAATTAACACGAAAAAAGAACAGAAGGTCAGTCGTGCCAACGAGTTTAAACTGTAATTATTGTAATATTGTAATTTTACTTGTCATACAGCACTTTCCAATGAACTGTAAACGAAGAAATACGCAATAGTTTGCTAAAGAAAGTTTTTCTCCTAGAAATCACTTTGCAAATAATAATCAATCGGTGCATTGATCTGACCTTAAAATAAGTACAGAATAAGTGAAAGAAAAAAAAAACATTTACGAATAGTTTCGATCGTAGAATCGAAATAATGACAGTTACCATTATGAGGAAAGCCGACTTTCGATAAAATAGCCTATAAAATAGCCTCTAAATCATCAATCTACCATTCACCTATTTTTTGTCATGCATATTAAGTGTAGGCCTATTTTCTTGTTAATTTATTATTCTTTTAAACGAATTGTTTGTCGCAATCGCAGAATAGTCGCCAATACGAGTCAAATGCTAATGTGGAAAGTAACATATCTTTCCTTTCATTATATATATACGGAAAGACTAAATGTCACGCAACACTGAATATATTGAGCAATAAGTGACGCCGATTTCAAACAAAATGTAAATCAATCGTCATTTTCTAAAAAAGATTATTCGAGAAAGAGAGAGAGAAAGAGAGAAATAGAAATTCGAATAAATGGAATACAGATTTTCTAATCTTTCTTATCAATAATTTAACGACACTCTTGTACTCCTACAGATATAAGCCGCAATTTCGTACATGAATATAATACTAAACCTAAAAGTGCATTTGACGATGGTAAGCTGGGCTTGCAGAGTTTGTATAAAGCATTTGCTGAATAATATACACCAGCATAATGTAACTTTGATAAATATCCAAATATCGTTAAAGTATTCATGTTAAAAACTCACACGTTGAATCTTTTAATCGTTTATTTCTTCCGAGTACATCAGTTGATTATGTTGTGATAGCTTTTTATTGTGTTCTAAAATTATTAAGGACCAATAAATGCATAAATAAATGTGGATTTGTATGTACGCGCGCGCGCGCGCGTGTGTGTGTGTGTGTGGCGCGTGCGTGCGCGTGTGTGTGTGCGCGCGCGCACGCGTATGTAAACATTCAGCAAAGTAATATACAATAGACATGACTGCAAAAAGCTTGATTGCAAAAACAATAAAAATATAAGAAAAACTGATATACATAAACCATTTTGCATACTAATTTTCGATGCCAATCGATAATAATTAATATGTTTTAGAAGTCTTTGCTACGCGTTAAAATGTGCTTCCTAATCGATATTATAATTTCACAATATAAGAAAGAAATGTTTTTGTTGGGATAAATATATCACGTATGATCAAAGACATTTCTTATGTCGCGTGTGAGTTTTAAATATGAATTGTGATAAAAAGTGTAAAGCTATTTCTAAAGTAAATTAGTGTGAGAAGACAGCTTCGTGATAACACGTAAGAATAAAGTTACAAATTTATAGAGACAAAATTGAAATACAATGAAAAAGTATATACATACATACGAAATGTAATTTTCTATGATTAAAAATAATGCAAAAGCTTCTCTTCATTAACTCTTTCGGTGATCACCAATATATAGGAATAAATAAAATTTAAGACTATAATGAGTTTGATATTGAAATAATTCTCAACTATTCGACAAATAATTTCCTCTTAATTTTTTATATAGGCGCAAGTAGGTAGTTTTTTTAAAAAGGGATACGTGATCTCGATGATCGAATTATATCTTAATAAAGTTGATCTGATTAAACATCATGGAACATGATTTAAATTGTTAACAATTCGTTTAGAAATCTGTTCTATCTAATTAGTAATTACATAGAGAAATATTAAATTTACAGAAATCCATTTTTTTAAATTGTATATTTCAGGATCACTTGACGATTATTTTAACGATTTTATACATAGGTGCTGTTAAGTTATAAATCTGAGATACTTGGTATATCCTGTGCGCTGATTTCGAGAACCAATAAATTGCGTATTATTATGTTTCTGGTAACTCGGTGTTTTAATTCCTTGGCGAGTGAATGAAAATACATGCGTGATGTTAAGAAATGTCTCGAAAGTGTACAAAATTCATAAATGTATGAAACTGTAATCTGTAACACATGTCATAAGATATAAGCAGTAAAGTCGCGAAATACGTTCTGTGCTTGAACAAAACGCAGTTTTATTTTTATAAGGATAATAATTTGCTGCTATTGCCATTATCATGAATTAATGTCAATGCTGCAAAGACGTGAAACAATATTTCAAATACTTTTATTGTTACATCTTTTATTTTGTTAATTGCTATTTCATCAGAATGTTATGATATGATTGATATGGTAAGTTACACAGCGTGAATTTTTTAAAAGACGATTAAGACTATATAATATTTATGTGATGCCTGTGAGAAGAAACTTTCATCGAATCTCTACAGATTTCGCACAATTTCTCGAATGCATATTTTGCAATATCTGGTTAAAGATCTGGTTTTAAGGATGTCAAGTTACGTGTCATTACGGTGAAATCGTACAAACTTCAAAGATTCTTTTCTCATTCTGAATATTTGCATAAAATTTAGGGGATAAACTTCCGAAAAGCTATCACCTCCGATTTGGCTGATTTTCAGCCTAAATACTTATTTTATCTAGTAAATAATATTCCCAAAATTGGATTTTGGCGCAAATGCCCCTTCCGCCCCCAGCCCTCCTCAAAGGTAAAACTGTTTTTGTTAATTATTTCAGAAAGTATTCATTGTACGGAAAAAGTTGTCAAACAAAAAATGAAGCTCATAAAAAGCTCTACAAATAAGGTCCTATACATATTTTACCTAACTCCAATATTTTAGTCGTTATTATCAAAAATCTGGAGGCAGTGTGTTCCACCACCCTGCGGGGGGGGGGGGGGGAAGGGGCTCCATCATCAAAAAACTATACACATAGGGTCTGGATTGAATCTCGCTTTGTGTAGAAAGTCGTAAGCCCATGTGGAATCTCGCTTCGCGTTGTAAAGTGTATACGTGGATGCAGTGGGTGCCGCCCCTCCTATATAAGGGGCCTTTTATAAGTTTTTTGATAGTAACGACTAAAATATTGGAGTTAGGTAAAATATGTATAGGACCTTATTTGTTAAAGCTTTTTATGAGCTTCATTTTTTGTTTGACAACTTTTTCCGTACAATGAATACTTTCTGAAATAAATAACAAAAACAGTTTTACTTTTGAGGGCGGCGGAGGGGGCATTTGCGCCAAAAATTCATTTGGGAATATTATTTACTAGATAAAATAAGTATTTAGGCTGAATATCAGCCAAATCGGAGGTGATAGCTGTTCGGAAGTCCATCCAAATTTAGGTACAATTTTCTTCGTTAGTACAAGAGTCATTTAATTTTTATGTTTACATTAGTTGTTATGGAAAATTGTGCGCTGCATTTATTGACAAATTTGATCAAATTCGCTTTGTATACTCGTATTTTTGGAGACTGGATTTAGATTCAACGCATAGAAAACGAAGAACTATTCCTTTCTTCCAAAAAACAGATCTATGCATTTTTATTCTCCAATAGTGAAAATTCTTTTACTCGGTGAAAATTTTTTCGTTCGGTACTTTCACCGAAACGTCCAGTGATTTAAAAAAAGAAAACAAGGCGTATAAACTACCGAACGATAGCGTCACATAACGTGAAAACCCAACAAGAACGAGAACTGAAGGAGAACATGGCTCTGTTCGTTTTACTTCTGCACTTTAAGCACCTGTTTTCTTTGCTCTCTCTTTCTTTCTCCAAAGACTACATATGTATCTATTTCATTATGAGTGCAGGAAATGCAAAGTAAAACGAACAGTTTATGGTGAACGTTACATGCGCTTGAGCGTGCCTGGCATTTCACGCGATTTGACTTATTCAGAGTCATTCTCGTAATCGTCCGCCAAGTCATTGCGGTCAAAGTGTATGATGTTGCGACGATACGAAATGTGACTGGTGAATCAGCTTTTTTTTACCGATATTTTGCCGCTAGTGAGTCTTTTTTGTTGTTTTACACGTCGATTCCTGTCGCGTCATTTATTTTTCGATAAGAACTCTTGGGGAAATCTTAATCAATTTTAATACAATTTATTTAATTCATGCTTCATTGAGCGTAAACAAATTTGGAAAATTCATTGCTTTACTGTATCGCAAGTATTTCGTTTTTCAAGATTTAGTTTTGAGGTTATAAATTCTGTCAGAAATATTTACATGGTTCATTTGTTACTATTTGACGATTACCATATTATACACACACATATATATATATATATATATATATATATATATATATATATATATATATATATAT